GGAGAGGGCAGCCCCCCCTCCTCCGCGCCCAGCCTGTTCCACTGCTTGACAACCCTCTCGGTGAAGAGATTTTTCCTAATATCCAATCTAAACCTCCCCTGGCACAACCTGGGGCCATTTCCTCTTGTCCTACTGCTTGTTTCTTGGGAGAAGAGACCAACACCCACCTCACTACAACCTCCTTTTAGGTAGAGAGCAATAAGGTCTACCCTCAGCCTCCTTTTCAACAACCCCAGTTCCCTCAGCCACTCCTCATAAAACTTATGCTCTAGATCCTTCACCAGCTTCATTGCCCTTTTTTGTACACACTTCAGCACCTCAATGTCTTTCTTGTAGTGAGTGGACCAAAACTGAACACAGTATTTGAGATGTGGCCTCAACAACACTGAGTCCAGGGGCACAATCACTTCCCTACTCCTGCTGGCCACACTATTCCTGATACAGGCCAGGATTCTAGTGGTCTTCTTGACCACCCGGGTACACTGCTGGCTCATATTCAGCCAGCTGTCGACCAACACCCCCGGATCCTTTTCTACCAGGCAGTTTTTCCCCCCAGCCTCTCTTCCCCAAGCCTGCAGCGTTGCATGGGGTTGTTGTGACCCAAGTGCAGGACACAGCACTTAGCCTTGTTGAACCTCATAGATCTGGCCTCAGCCCATCCATCCAGACTGTCCAGATCCCTCTGTAGAACCTTTCTACCCTCAAGCAGATCAACATTTCCACTCAACTCGGTGTCATCTGCAAACTTACTGAGCACACACTTGATCCCCTTGTCCACATCATTGATAAAGACATGAAACACAACTGGCCCCAATGCTAAGACCTGGGGAACACCACTTGTGACCGGCTGCCAACTAGATTTTACTCCATTCACACAACTTTTTGGGCCCAGCCATCCAACCATTTTTTTACCCAGTGAAGAGTACAACCATTCAAGCCCTGTGCAGCCAGTTTCTCTACAAGAATGCTGTGAGAAACGGTGTAAAAGGCTTTACTAAAGTCTAGGTAGAGAACATCCACAGCCTCTCCCTCATCCACTAAGCAACTCACCTTGTTAATGAAGGAAATCAGGTTAGTCAAGCAGGACTCGCCTTTCATAAACCCATGCTGACTGGGCCTGATCGCCTGGTTATCCTGTACATGACATGTGATGGCACTCAAGATGATCTGCTCCATAACCTTCCCTGGCACCGAGGTCAGACAGACAGGCCTGTAGTTCCCTGGATCCCCCTTCCAGCCCTTCTTGTAGATGGGCATATATTTGCTAACTTCCAGTCAAATGGGACCTCCCTGAACTGCTGATAAATGATTGAAAGGAGCTTGGTAAGCACTTCCGCCAGATCCCTCAGTACTCTTGGGTGGATCCTGTCTGGCTCCACAGACTTGTACGTGTCTCAGTGGTGTAGCAAGTCACTAACCATTTCCCCTTAAATGGGGGCTCCATTCTGCTCCCTGTCCCTCTCTTCCAGCTCAAGGAGCTGGGTACCTGGAGAACAACTGGTCTTACTATTCAAGACTGAGGCAAAGAAGGCATTAAGTACCTCAGCCTTTTCCTCATTCTCTGTCACTACATTTCCCCACACATCCAATAAAGGATGGAGATTCTCCTTAGCCCTCCTTTTGTTGCTAATTTATTTATAGAAACATTTTTTATTGTCTTTTATAGCAGTAGGCCAATTAAGTTCTAGGTGGGCTTTGGCCTTTCTAATTTTCTTCTTGCATAACCTCACAACATCCTTGTAGTCCTCCTGAGTGGCCTGCCCCTTCTACCAAAGGTCATAAACTCTCCTTTTTTCCAAGAGTTCCAGCCAAAGCTCTCTGTTCAGCCAGGCCAGTCTTCTGTCCCATTGGCTCATCTTTCAGCACATGTGCCCTTAAGATTTCCTTCTTGAAGAATGTCCAGCCTTCCTGGACTCCTTTGCCCTTCAGGACTGCCTCCCAAGGCACTCTGTCAACCAGTCTCCTAAACAGGGCAACGTCTGCTCTCCGGAAGTCCAAGGAAGTAGTTCTGCTGACCCACTTCCTTGCTTCTAGAGTCAAAAACTCTATTTCGTGTGATCACTATGCCCAAGACAGCCTCCAATTGTCACATCTCCCACCAGTCCTTCTCCGTTTGCAAACAGCAGGTCAAGCAGGGCACCTCACTTGGTAGGTTCACTTACCAGCTGTTTTAGGAAGTTATCTTCCACACATTCCAGGAGCCTCCTAGACTGTTTCCTCTCTGCTGTGCTGTATTTCCAGCAGACCTCTGGTAAATTGAAGTCCCCCATGAGAACAAGGGCTAGTGATTGTGAGACTTCTCCCAGCTGCTTATGGAGTATTTTGTCTGGATCTTCATCCTGGTTGGATGGTCTATAACAGACTCCCACCATTATATCTGCCTTATTGGCCTTCACTCTGATTCTTACCCATAAACACCGAACCCTACCATCACCATTGTTTAGCTCTAGACAATCAAAACACTCCCTAACATACAGGGCTACTCAACTGCCTCTCCTTTCTTGGCTATCCGTTCTGAAGAGTTTATAGCCATCCATTGCAGCACTCCAGTTGTGCGAGTCATTCCACCATGTTTCTGTGATGGCAACTATATCACAGTTTTCCTGCTGCACAATGGCTTCCAGCTCATCCTGTTTGTTCCCCATGCTGCATGCATTGCTGTAGATGCACCTCAGCTAGGCTATTGATCCCGCCACTTTTCTTGGGGAGAGAGAAGTCCTAATTCCTACGTGACCATTCTCAGGCACTTCCATGGTTTCCAACACATCAGTAACCCTTTCGTGTTTGCTGCCACATGGATCTCCATCCTCTACCTCCACTAAGACGGCAGACCAAAGAACCTTGCTAGTACACTGTCCCTCAAACACTGGCATGCCACTCCAAGGCTTATTTCTAGCGAGCCTGGTTTTATCTCTTGCCCTCTTCAAATCTATTTTAAAGCTCTTTTAATGAGTCCTGCTTACTCCTGTGCAAAGACCCATTTTCCCCTTTGAGACATGTACGCTGTCTGTTGCCAGCAGGCCTGGTGGTGCGTAAACTGACCCGTGATCAAAAAACCCCAAATTCTGCCAGTGACACCAGGCTTGGAGCCCGGTATTGATCTGCTGGCTCTTCTTGTTCCTTCCCTCATCATTCCCAGCAACTGCAACAATAGAGGAGAACACTTCCTGTGTTCCTAATCCCTTAACCAGTGGTCCCAAGGACCTGAAGTCTCTCTTGATTTTACCTGGGCCCCAGGGAGACAGCAGACTTCCTGAAGAAGTAGGTCTGGTCTGCATATTGGGCCTTCTGATCCCTTCAGAAGGGAGTCTCCTATGACAATGACCCATCGTTTTTTCTTTATGGAAGCAGTTTTGATGCAGGGCGTAGGTTGAGTGCCACCTCCAAGCTAGATGAACCATTGTCCTCGTCATTGTTCAGTTCCACTTGCCGAGCCTTGTACCTATTATGCAAAGGCACCTGGGAAGGTGGGGTAGCCACAGAGGAGACGTGCCTGCTGCATCAGGCAGGAGCTTGTCGCCATTGGCCTCTATCCCTTAAGTCACTGTGTTCAGCCGGGGGGAGAGAGGAGAGGGCATCCCTGTACCACGCGTCCGCTCTGCCCGTTGGGCCTGTCTCAGGGCAGGTAGGCTGCACTCCAGTAGTCCGTCTCTCTCTCGCACCCCCTGATACTCCTCAACCTTCTCACCTCCTCCCGGGACTCTGCCAGTACGCGGAGGAGTTCCTCTACCTGGGCGCACGTCCCAGCTGTACTCCCCGCTGCCGGCCGGTGCCGGCGCAAGAGCAGGGCACAGCCCGCAGCCTGGCACCTGGGTGTCTGCATGTTCCCTCCTGAGCTGGCTGGGAAGCTGCGTCCGCCGTGGCGGGCGCAGAGCTTACAGAGGCCGTGGCTTTCTGCCGGGTGGACGCCATTGCTCCCTGGTCGAGCCGGCAGAGCTTCAGCGCCCCTCCTCCTGCGCGCCCTTCCACGCGCCCTTCCGCGCGCCCTGCCATGCCGCGCCCTTGCTGACGTGCCACGCCCTGATTGCCCACTCTGCTAACTACCCTTGCTGACAGGGCATCTGCAGGACAACCAAGGGATCA